TTTCTGAAGTCTAGAAATGCTTGGCATTATAGGCACAACTAAAATTATTGGAATTGAGGGTGAAAATGAGGATGAGAATGGGCCTGAAAGTGGATTGATAAGGATGAAAATGTGAAGGTGAAGGATAATGGTGACTTGGGTAAGAATAACAACGTCAACCACTCACACCTGTATCCCATCCTTGCACTCATCTACACACTATGGCTCTGTTGTCATGATTTACTCACTCTTACTCACATCTTCGATCCCCAGAATTTCAATAGTTCATAATTATTGAAATTCAGTCATTGTTGTTATTGATGCTATGAACGCTACTCCAAGATTTATCGATGATACACTAAGGAAAGAGTGTACTACTATAAGATTATATATATATAGTAAGTTTTAACTTAACCTATGCATATTACACCACGCAACGAGTAGTAGTTTTTAAAAATATCATAAAAAAGTTTGACGTCCATTGTATAATTCATAGTTTTTCTATAGGCTTATGTCTCGTGCGAAATTCGATCGATCGATGAAAACTACATATCACAAACTGCTTGTGTTCTCGAGTCATTAGCAGTATACTGACCTATATATAATTGTGATGCCGACAACAGTTCTCTGTATTGAATCGAATAACGAACTATAATGTCTTTTAGTAATAACCGATAACTAGTAAATACACTCCTTTACATATGAGATAACTAAAGTGGGTCATGCGAGTGTAAGTCAGTCTTCTATGAAACCGATGGTGCAACTATTTGTCGACCATTGTGTGCTTCATATAATTATTGTGGTTGTGTTGTTTTTCATCATCATCGAACAAAAGAAAAACATTTATGACATACCAAAAACAATTAACGTTGCTTTTATACCAACAAACCCACTTAGGAAAAGTGCATGTCATTGTTGCTTATCATTGACACTTATATATGTTGGTTATTATCGAGAAAAAAAAGATATAAAATACAGATCATAAAATAAGGGTGAGTCACATTTTACTTTACCTGTTTTTTTATGAATACATGATAAGGAATGCTTTGTGCAAATTCAATTAGTCATCTTAGTACTTTAAACTCGTCTTCTAGACTACATTGTATATTGTGAGATTCGGATGAATCACACTTTTGTTATCAGACTCAGACGTCATCTACGCACTTCATCTATAATCGTCTTCCGAAAAATTCTAAAATGTCACTCAAGTACAAAAAATTCGAAATTCAAAATTTCATCGAATGAAGGTTCTCTCTATTTCTGAAGATACCTCCAAACTCGAGTTTTTGATGTAATACATTTTATTTCCGTCGTCCTCTATAATTTTCACAATCGTTGTGCGAGGTGGATGTGAATGTTGGATGTGAGTCGAGATGTTCTTCTTAACAATAATCAATGCCAATTGAAGTCAATTGAGAGAAAATAAACAGTAAGAACATCATCCTTGTGTATTATTATGTCAAATTAATTTGCGCTATCGAATAAATCATTAGTTACACATCTCGTAAAATCGAGGATGTGGGTGTTGGTATAAGTGTAGATGTAAGATGAGGACGAACACCTCGACCCACGTTCCACATCCACACCCTCTAAATAGTGCTAAGTTGTATGATTCATTAACAGAAACGGGGACGACTACGAGTAGTTTGAATATTGCACGATATTGGCACACAGCATCTGTATTAACAAATGGAACTGTATTGGTTCCTAGTGGATCTACGAATGTTACTCTGAATAGTTCAGAATTATATTAATTATCTCAAACAAATAAAAAATCAATAATTTTATGGTTAGACGTACGTGAATTGCATTGAAACACTAGTTTGATATACAGAACTACTGAATATAAATGACTTTGTTTGATGTCTTCACTTGATTTTCATAAACATGATAATTCATTTTAAAATATCAAATTATTTTTATTTTTTTATTCAATATATAAAGCCGATCGTGACGAAAAAGTCTCAGTTCATATAATTATTTTCATAATCTTATACAGTTTCATGAAATTTCGAATGCATCTTCTATTTAAAATTTCTACTTTCCTCGTATCTGTAATTAATAGCCCATCAGCACTTAGTCCGATATTGGTGAATTAAATATTTTACTTCATTTGCGTGAATTTCCAATGGTTTTCTTATGCGGTCAAAGAAGCATTGAAATTTCGTGTCTCTAATATGACCTATAGCGACAAGGGTGTGGGTGTTCGTGCCGGTAAAAAACTCCGCATCTACCTGCACGCGAGGACCACAACCGCACCCCATAACCACTAGCCATATCCACACTTACACCCACAAATCTATTCATTTGTCTGGATTTAATCAACACGAAATACATTCGTCGGTGTTGAAACTTTATTTTTATATTTTCATTAATCTATGTGGGTGTGAATTAAGTGAGGGTATTGGCCGTTACGTTACTGAGTAACTTAGGAGGAACATTAAGCAATAGAAACAACAAACTTTTACTTTCTATAAGGTGTTTTTTTTGTATTTTTAAATAAATACACGAACAAATGTTATTTTTTATTTCGTGCATACTAGTCAGCCTGGATGTTGACTAGGTGTCAGACGTTCTACATTATTATAATAGTTGCACTGAATTGTATCACTCAATTAGTTCATAACAAGAATACCGTCTCGTTCAGGCTTTTTCTTCTATGTAAACTTCCAGATATTTCTGTTAATCAATCATTGAAATAAAAAATTCTACTCAGACAGAAGATTCATTAAACGAAATACTATGTCTGATCTTTGATTATATGAATACATTGAGGTATGTTCAGATTTCCAAAAAAGGAAATTACCTATATTTCTGAAATTTCCATCAGCTCGATTACTATATAGCAGTGCAAATCAAAAGTTTTTAGACATATTGGAAATTTCTGTAATTTCAGAAATTTCTGTAAGTACGTCATTGCAGAAATTTCAGAAATTTCGGAAATTACATCATTTTAGGAAGTAACGTGCAATTCCGAACACAAATACTTGAAATCTCCGAAACTTCCAAAATTTTCTTTTTCGGAAGTCTGAACACTGCTGAATACATTCGGCTTATTGTTTACATTTATTTCTCTTAATTCCCTTATATCATGAATTTAAAGACTAATTTACCTTGCTTTTTTTTATTGATTTGCTCTTTTGTTGTTGTCAAGTGAAATTTCTTTCTGATTACTTGACTTTTTATTCTGATCAACTTACTTTGGCGAATATCCACGATGAAACCCTATACCAAACAAATGTCATCGGACAGCAGTTTCATCGATTATCAGGTGCGGGCGTGATGTTAGTCTTTCTCAGATTCACACTCTCACCCGCCACACCCACACTCAATTCCGAATTTATCTGATGATGGCTCTTAAGCAAGGCCTAGCTGATCATCATAAGTAGCTGGATCTGTAAAAAGAATTCATCTGTAAACGTATCAATATCCTCGTCTCATGCAAAATAATAAATTTATGGTATGAATGTATCGATGATTTAGTAGCTTGTGTAATTATTAATCATAAAAAACAATTAAACTTTGTTTTTTGCAAAGATGAATCTATTCGTAGTTGCTTTCACTATTTTTGGTTCTTCTAGTTTTAAACTAAATAATGATCAATCATTCATTCTATTTATATCTTCTGTAGATTTCATATTCTGTCTCAAATGTTCATCGTCTTGTTATTTTTAGTGAAATTAGTTTATCGAATATGAATAAAAGTAGTTTAGTCAATATACAAGACAATTTCAACAATTAGTGTCAAAGAACTTTTGACTATAATGATAATTGGACTTGCTACGTGTTTTTGACGATCTACACAGTTCATTATGTTCATGTTCATATCGATTATATAAATTTTAGGTAACTAACTGACCATTGTAATAAATTGGTAACTGTTATTTTTATTGTAAATGCACGTGTTAAGTTGTTAAGAGGATTATCTTTTATAAGATATGGAATTAATTGTACATTTACTTATTCTTGTTTTTGGATTAATCACGTTCACTCGACTTGCTAATATTTCCACAATATATAGATTGCTGAAAAGTAACAATTGATAGTAACCAGTTTAACTTGTCTTTTTCATCAAGAGATAGGTTGGTGTGAATGTGAGGTGTGGGTGTGAGTGTTGGCCTTGTTTTCAACGAAATGCACCCTCGTCCAAACCCACACTTACAATATATCACACTTATCTTTTATCAAAAAAAAACTTAAAATATGAATATAACAGAAAAAGAATTAAAATTCGCTGTAAAATATTTTAAAATATTATTATGATAGAGAATCATTATGGTTGTATGTAGGTGTAAGGCGTGAAGGTGGATGTGGGCGTGACTATAGGCGAAATCATGAAAAGATCCAAACACCCACACTCACGGGCAAAATTTGAATTTTGAAAACATATAAAATTATTATCATCACTGTATAGATTCACATTGTTCCATGCACATATTTATATTTCTATCAGAAAGTATTTCTATTTACAAGTAGCTTATACCATGTTGTTCATGAGAAGGTCTCTTTAAACTTATCAATGTAGAAGGCAATATTCGCAACAGCATAACATGCTGACTATACGATGAGAGCTTTGAGGTGATCTTACGCTCAGTTGAATTTTAATTTTACTATTGAAATGATTTTTAGCTCACTATTATCCTCATAACTGAGATTGAATGCCTTCTCTTATGATACTTTGACGGCTTGCCCAAAAGTTCATATCATAATTTCACTGTGGGTCATTCAAACACGACTGATCGAATGAAAACTTCACATCTTGCATCTCAAAGCTAACCGTTGTACACATATCGAGTTATACACAGTCGAATTAAGAATGTACGGACCTTGGATTAGTAGGATTCGATTTTTCTCGATTAATAATCGAATCATTGTAGCACAATATCCAGATTGCCTTCAGATTAGTACGTTTTTCTTGCGAAAAAAATTAAGAAACTATCAACTCGATAACACTTTATTTTTAAATATATACAAATTACATAATAATACAGATCACTCAAAACAAGTAAAGCTGAAATCAATTATGACATTTTTTGATGTTTGTCACGACATTTGCATACGCCAGCTTCGCACAATTTGGCTCCAACGGAACCGCAAATAGCACCTGCACCAGCTCCGACAACAGCACCACCAGCAGTGCTAAGAGCAGCACCACCCACAGCAAGTATAAGACCAGTAGCACCAAGCGGACCAAAAATGGCTACAAGAAAAACAGAAACACCAGCAAAGGCACCTATACTCAGCACCCCGGCCGCAGCGCCCTTGCGAGCGCCAGCACGAGCACCATGATCGCGACATTTGCCGCATTTATGACACTGACGGCCATCACATTCTAGCGTTTTAGTAGGCAATGACATGAACGTTAATAATATTGACTGTGATCTTCAAATGAAGAAAGTGTATCTTTACTGTGAAATCATTTTTAAAAATGACAAAATCAACAACTTTCTAATGAAATTTGAACATAATTTAACAACTAGTTACGATCAACGAAGATTATCAATTGGTGAACACTCTACATAGAGAACCACTCCAAATACTCTGTCAATAGATGATCAGAGGTTTTTAACTTCGCTGATACATTTTCGAATGTAAAAACCTTCACACTGATGTAATAGTATACATAAACAATTTTTGTGATTTAAGAAATTTTCTATAGTAAACCAAACAACTTGATATATAGGAACTTACTTGTCATGGATCTAGAGGCAGACTGAACCCGCTGCTGTCCTTTTATCTATATGGTATCATGTTAGGAAGTGTATCGTTTACTCAATATAGGAAGCATGCATTTGAATATAAAACGCCAATGGTATTTGCAATTGATAGACGTCGAAAAGTCTAAAATATGACTTGTGTTTAAAAAATGATGTCATTTTTCGTCGACCGAAGCGCTTGCAGCACGTTTTTCCTCGTTAATATTACTCACTATGTCTCATGCTGTGAAATACATTAGTGTAGGTTTTTTCTTTTCTTCGTCAGATGCAGTGCTTCCGTTTGCATGACGCAAACGTGCTCGATTACACCCATATTGCTTCATAAACACAGCTGCAGTACGAACATATACTGAATCATCATGACGATCGCAGACGCAAACCCACGCGTAGTAGGACGATTATGACATCATTGTATACAATGACATTACAGTAGGAAGAGAATTTTGAGATGATCAAAAATTTCATCATCGGTCGAAAAAACTACACAGCCTGAAAAAGAGGTCAATGAAAAAGTGTTTGAAAAGAGAATCAGGTGATCATTCACAATGTACGAACGAATATTTGAGATACAAAGAGTTTTTGTCATTAGGAAACTTGCGTTTTCTTCCACTTTTTAATTACGCCGTAACTTCAGCCATACTGAGCGCAAAATAGCAGCATGGAAAAACTGCGTGTCATAAGTTTCTAAAGTGTTAAATAGGCTGCTTCTTGACGCGCGTTAAATAGGAAAATTTAGAACGATGATAGGCCTCATTTTGTTTTTGAAGAAGACGAACAGCTATATACGTATACGATTTCTTAATTACGTCGGAAAATCATTGAAACTGTTTGCCAAAATAATGTAGACACGTTGTCAATAAAAAACATTGTAATTCACATCATTCGAGTAGCTTACATCGCTTATACATCTGGTCCACCTAATATTCGACCACTTAGATATGGTTTGGTAACAGCTTACGTTATCTTTGGACGACTTCCTTTCCTATCTCGAGTTATCATGAATATTTTATGTCTCAATCTCCTTTCTTTTTGAAGATGCTGACGTAATACTTCGATGACTCCGACAGGAAACTGTGGTTCTAGCATTTTTTAAATGCATGAATATGATATATATGGCATGACACGCATATCAACACTTTGTTTTCGTACGCTCTAACGTTCCTGCAAGATATCTTTCGAAGATTATCATCTGGAAATATTTTGGCTTAATATCGCAAATCATGCGACTTGTTTTGGTGTCATAAAGTAAATATGTTATCTCATAGATTGTTTTAATTATCAATCTATTGATTGTGTTTTTCTCTTTTCGTCCATATAAATTCAACTTTTTGTCTGAGCACTTTTACGGGACAATTTCTTCGTTCCAAAATCTTCGTCCATCGAAAAATAATAAATGTGAATAACGATGAATCCAGTTCAAGTACGGCTTAACTTTTAGAGCTACATTTTTGATGTGAATATATCAGAGACAATGACTGTATCGTTTGGACAAAACCATATATTAACAAAAGACTTGATTAATGAAGTTATACGTAAAATAAAATTCTCTGCAAGTTGTCTAAAATACCGTATATCAAGTGTTTTATGCTAAGAAGGTTGGTCTTAAAAAATACGAACTTTTTGACAGCAATATGATTTTGCGCTCTTAAGTAGATTTTATTTCATAAAACAAGTTTTCAGCGCAATGTATGTAAGATTCATGTATGAAATATGATGAAGCTACTTCAGTCAATGGAATATCTGTTGATTATCTCTTTGACCGAAGAAGTCATTACATGAAAGTTTGTAATAAAGCAATCATCAGCGATCAAAAATCCACAATTTACATAAACCAAGGTAGTGAGGTATGGGAACAATAAAGAAAGAAAACATAGTGGTGTTAAACCGAAACATTTCAGCTGACATTTGCTGATTTCTTTTTTGTTTTGAGCTTTAAAGTATCAGCATTTGTATCAGGGAAGTATCTGTAATGGGCAACTGTCTGTAAGGGAAGGGTGGGAGGGGTGACCGCTCACTTCGTCGCACGACACTTCGTCGCGTTCACTTCGTCGCGATCATTTCGTCGCACGATCACTTCGTCGCATAACACTTCGTCGTACGACATTTTGTCGCAGAACATTTTTTTTCGTTCTGTTTGTCGCAGAACAATTTCTTTCGTTCTGCTCGTTGCAGAACAATTTTCTTTCGTTCTGTTCATTGCATTCCTCTTAATTATTTTTTTTCAAAACATCAAATTGATCTATTTAACTCATCTTCATTTTATGTATCATGCATAACAGAACCATCAACAAAGTGAAACGAAAAAGCAAGAAAAAAGAAAAACCAAAGAAAAAAGAAAACTAATCTAAAGGGAAAAACAATCTAAAGAACTAATTTGGAGAGCGTTGGATATGTACCAAGGTCAAAGTCAACTCGTCGTATTCCAAGAATTCCAATAGAATTCAATACTAAGGACTCCGATAAGAACTGATGCTATCCGATAGTCAGATCCATCGCGTCCTGGCAATGTTATCGTTGATCTAGTCAATGTTAAAATTCATTAACATAATGACAAATATAATTATTTTTTGCTGACTTTAACTGTCTCAGAATTACATTTGGTTAAGACCTTTCATTGATCTATTTTCCGAATTCAAGTCATACGTTTTAGAGCAATCAATTGTCTGTCCTCGTTTTACCCATATTTTAGAGTTTTTCATTTACTTTATTTTATTTTGACTAGTTATCAAAAAAAAACAGGACTAATTAACAGAAATACAAGAAGCAGAACGAAAGAAAAAATTATTCTGCAACGAACAGAACGAAAGAAATTGTTCTGCGACAAACAGAACGAAAAAAAAATGTTCTGCGACAAAATGTCGTACGACGAAGTGTAATGCGACGAAGTGATCGTGCGACGAAATGATCGCGACGAAGTGAACGCGACGAAGTGTCGTGCGACGAAATGTACTAGCGCCGGTGGGAGGATCAAACTGTTTCGCTCTATAATTTAATACTCGTTTACAATCGTGTCTTATAAAATAATTGCGAACCCAAATGATATTTAAAAAACGACGTTTTAGCTTCGAGTTTTGAAAATATAAATGGCATACGGCCGAATAAGCTCACTGATGTCATTGATACTGTTGTCTTTCCCATACTTCATGCTAACCCAATATGTTCCATCACTCGTTTGTTCTTTATTGATCACTTTGAGATATGTTGGATCGACTCGTTTTTCAAGTAGCACAATATATTTTTCACCATCATGTTCGAACTCTGTGGCATAATTTTTGGCCACACAAAGTTCAGGTGTTGTAAAAATCTCCTCTCTGAATTTGGATTGGTGGTGTTGAATAAGTTTATAGCCTTTTTCAGCAATGTTCATTGATTTGTGTTTGCCCATTCCATGGTAAGACACCAGCCATTCTTCGGCATCAACATCTGTCATACCAAGCCAACAATCGTTCCTTCCATATCTTTCTTTAACATTCAAGACGATTCGTTTGCCACCACGAAGTTCTTCAGAGCAAATGGTATGATCAGAGTCAGAGTTCGATACGAGCACTGATGAATGAAGCATTAAAGGACCACTTAAAACAAAGGTGACATTCAGTGGGCCATTGAAATCACCAAGACAATCGCATAGGACCTCATCGTCAAGTAGTTCTCGGTCATCTTTAAGAATGGCTTGGTAATAAATATCAATACCTGTACAATCTTGAATCATCTTTTTTAAATCACGAATATGATCTTCGATAACTATGTCAAGCTCCAAAATTTTTCCAGAAGAAAAAATGATGCGAACAATGAGTGTGGCAGGTAGGTCGATCATATGAGGGCAATAGACGATCTTTGTCCGCAAGCTTCTGATGTGAGACACAGTGGAAGAGTTGCACACGATCGGGTGAAACGCCGAGTTTTTGTGCTAGGCCGTATATAAATGTTTGAACAAGCTTTGACGGCAAAATTTGACTGTCGTAAACCTCATCCGGTGAGGAGGTTTTTCTCCAAAACAGATGCTGACTTTTGCTTGAAAGTGAGATAGTACTACCGATAACTAATTGCATATCATCGCTAAGTATTTGCTCATCTGGCGTGTCTATGGAGCATTGCAATGTCGTCCGTTCATTATCGATCTCTAATGTACTTCTTTGTGTATGGGCTTCCTGTTGAAGACGTATCTCTTGGGCTTGAATGGCATAGCCAAATTTCTGCAATATTACTTTGTTCAAATTGGAGATTATCCAAGGTTTGTCGAGCAAAAGTGGCCAACGAGTTTTAGTTGGTAGTTCGACACAGAGCACAGCAGTGCTGTCCGATGAATCGACTACATAGACATCAATAGATAGAGCAATATACTCTGTCACATATGGAATTATTTGCTGATTGTTTGTTTGAAAGTCATCGTGCACAAACAAAACTTGACGTTCTTCAGGTATGTTTAATTGATTTTTAATGAAATTCTTAATGTTGGCAACTGATCTATAACCGATAGTTTGAAAAAGCTTTCCGCTCGGCTTTAAAACCGTTATATATTTCGGTTTGATAACAATGACGGAGTCGTTTTTAATCATTTCACTGTAATCTGATACAAGTTTGTCCATTTGTAATCCGTGACCATCGCATAATAATTGGAATGTAAATGCCTTTATACCCAGAGTTCGTTGGATTTTATTTTGAAGCTGTCTAATAGACCAAAGCGAAAAGATAATCATGTCAACAGGACTATTACTAATCAACTTCAATTTGACGTGAATCGGTGGGATTAATGTTAGAATATTGTCGTATTTCCCGGTCATGTCGATTAAAAACAAATCATCATCTTCCGCTAAGCACTGCTCGTCGACAGAAATTCCCATCACTTGTTCAATCTTCTTTTTCAGTTGATAAACAGATAGATTATGAGCACAATCAATGATTGTTTCACCATTCGATTGTGTTCGAATGATCACACTTTGACTCGTTGATGTCTCTTCAGATAAAGGTATAATTTCGAGGTACAGAGTGCTTCCGTCATGAATATTGTAATGTGAAAGTACGCGTCGATCGTGTGTTATCTTGCCCTCAAAAGACAGCCGTTGTTGATCAGATGAAATTTGTTCTGTATTCTGAATTTTTTCTTTGATATCTTTGATAGTGTGATATCGTGAGATGTACAACTCAATAGTTTTTCCAGTAACATTTTTGATAAAGATTTGTGTATTTAGAATGGGTATAGGATCGAGATTTAGTGTAGATCCATTCTTTATATTACAGTCTGCTAAAGTGTGTCCACTTTTAGCTTCTTTTCCGTCAAAAAACAGAAATTGGGTGTTGGGTGGTATTCCCTGGAGCTCTTCGATCATTTCTTTTACATTATCGATAGTTTCATTCGGTTCTACATCAAATGTCATAACGCTTCCATTAAGAGTTTTAACAAAGATCTTCATTCCATCAGGAAGAGAAAGACGCAGCAGTGATCCATTTTGTATTCAATAATCTTTTAGTGTCCGTTTATCATCAAGATACTTGTGACAAAAAACTCAACTGCTGTTGTTCGAATGGAATTCTGATTTGATCTTGAATTTTCATTTTTATTTCCTCAATTGTATTAGACAAATACACTTCGAGAATGATTGTTTTCTGTTTCGACACCTTTACATACAGTTCTATTGTAGAATTTATTGAGATGACACATGAATAAAGTTTCAACACATCAACAGTTATCGGTGGACCTATGAATTTTGTTGATATAACACCGAGCAACGAATAAAAAGCTGCTGCGACTAAATTACTGTTTGCGTCAACTGCCATATCTGAATGGTATTACAAAAATGTAGGAGAAAAAAACTATGGTTAAAGTTTAAAAGACGAACGATACAATTGTTTTCGTTTAGGGGCTATATCAATCTTTTTTTTTATATGACTGAAGCTCTGTTATTTTGAGTCATTATTTAGTACCTTTATGGTATAAACACAGAAAAAACCATGTGCGCACGTCAATATTTGCTCACACTAGAGTCCTGCGCGGGTTTGATTTTTCGAACCCGCACCCGACCCGAGGTCTTTTAGTCGTACCCGTGCCCGACCCGACCCGACAAGACTCAACCCTAGCCCGACCCGACCCGACAAGGTTCAACCCGAGCCCGACCCGACCCGAGGATAGTTGGACCCGAGCCCGACCCGACCCGAGGATAGTTGAACCCGAGCCCGACCCGACCCGAGAGATTTAAATTCATTTATTTTATAAAGATACATCAGTTTATTGCAATATTAAGCATAAAAAATGATAGAAGCTTTATAGCAATAAAAAACACATAGATAATCCTGATTGCAAAAAAAACCATCACAACTTAGTATGATCACATTTCCATTCAAATACATACATTTCAAACAGTTAAGATCGATAATGATCATAACAATAAGTATCGTACAAATATCAATAATACATCTTCAATTTATACAAAACAACTGAAAAATTTCGTAAAAAAATAAGAGAGTCAAGTGATTCTGGTGATATTTGTTGACGTCGAACTTCAAGAATCCGACCTGTTTTACTGAATATTCTTTCAGATACAGCAGAACCTGCAGGTACTGCTAAGAGAGAACATGCCAATAATGATAACCTAAGGAGAATCAAATTTAAATTAATTTATTGAATTTTTCTTGTGCATTTAAGGAGAATGATATAGTAATCAAGAAACTCACTTTTTGTATATGATAGAGTGTTTTTGCCACCGTTGTAAAAGTGATTCTCCTTTTGGGTATGATATTTTCGCTTTAATATAATCATCTACTTTATCCATCGGCCTCTTATCATCATCGTCTGATGATGAGTCTACAAATGCATTAAAAGACTTGAGAACATCGTGTACAGTGTCTATTTTAATACGTTTTTGATGTGTTGAGGAATTGTTGTTGGTACCTGTCTCTGTTGTTTCTTCATCGACTTGTTGATCTATACCTAGAGCTTTTAAAAGTATTCGTATATTTTTAATAACAGCATTACATTCTGATTTCATTAGACTCTGAGAATCATTGATCAATAGAATTGAGTTTTATTATTCTATGAGTTTAAGACGAACGAAAATAGAGGGCAAAAGCATACATACGCAAAAAAATCTGAGCCGATAAAAACCCGACATTTTTTAATTTCAAACCCACACCCGACCCGACCCGACGGCTGACAGACCCGTACCCGACCCGACCCGATAAGATTGAACCCGAGCCCGCCCGCACCCGACAAGATTGAACCCGAACCCGCCCGCACCCGCGGGTCGGGCTCGGGTGCGGGTCGGGTCGGGTCGGGTTGCAGTACTCTAGCTCACACCGAGTGACGCAATACACAAACGCTATTGGATAGCACGAAAACGAATATACTTTCATATCATGACTAATAAATATCACACAGAAATACAGACTTTCTTATTTAAAAATAATACAATTACGAAAGGAACTGTCTCTTGTATCTTCAATTGGGTTATGACTGATGAATAGACGAACTCATTTCGAAAAATTGAAAAAGGTTGAATAATAAACAATCACACCAACATGCACTTTGAAACTGACATTTACACCCCACATCCACGCCTGGTTACTTGATGAAATATAATCATGGGGAGATGAATATAGGGCTCATGTTAGAAAAAGTAAGTTACCTGTCTGAAATGATCAGAAATAGAAATCTGTTTTACTTAAGTTTTTCTTTAGTATACGTAGACATTCTGAACTATAACATTTTATTGATGAAATTCAAAAACGAAATATGCTGATCAACTACGTTTAGTAGCACTTGGATCACGTTAGGTTTAGAATTTTCTGAACAAAATTTTTGATAATATTTTGATTATTTAGAATCTATATAATAATGAATCTGTGCTTAAACTAAAATCATTGATATCAATTAATAAACAATGTCTTGATTTACAAAAATGAAAAAAAGAAAATAAAGATTTTTTAAACGCATATTTATACTGAAAATTACTTTAATAATGATTTAGAGAAAGAACAATAGGAAAAAAGTCAAGGTGATGATTGGTATTTCTTAATAAACAGATCTATGAATAATACAAAGACCAGTTTGAACATGTATCCCTTGATATCCTGAAACTGAATTGATCGCAAGACAAACAAGAGCTGTTTCTTTCGTTGCAGTGAAGCATCATTGGATGTATTAAAAGTTCGATGGCTCAATCAAATATCAATAAGAATACAAATCCTTTTAGGATTTTTATTAGAACACTATGTAGTATATATGGTCAAAAAGAAATCAATGAAATCCGAAAGAGAAACGGAAGAGGTTCCCTCGTGAGCAGTTTGCTAGAGGGCGCATCACTATTTCGAGATATTAAGTGAAATTCTATTTATTACTATCAATTTTAATACTAGATAGAAAGTTTTTTTTGATAATTGTTTTTCTTAATATTGTCAATATCGTTATATACAATTTCTATGTTCTAAGAGTCAAGACTTTGTTCAGAAATATTAATAAATTTTTTCAAGACTCCGATGAATTTGAAAAAAGTTCCAAGAGAAACCATTTGACTATCTTTACTGAACATTTTGTAAAGATTATTTGGCGAACGTTCATAGACTCGATAAAGTTCAATTAGACCTTGGCCATCAATATTTTTCAATATTGGCATTAAGTTCTTCAAATTATTGTCAACGAGAAATTCGACAACATTTCTTGCATCCCATTTATTGATTCGTGCAATGTGACGATATTTTGGTAGAGGTACTGAAGGGATTGGTGTATATACACTTTGCATTGGTTGAGTCTTCAGTGTTGACTGAAATATTAATGGTGTTGGTTGTTCGTATATTCTTTTGGGCGATTCTCTACTTGAGCAACTGGAAATAGTTGACGGCCGCAACAAATGAAGACCATTGCGTTGCAATTCAACAAGAAGCATTTTATAGGCCATCTCAAATTCATTATGCGCTTTATTAGCAAAGTTAATATAGATTTTATTACCAACAATAAAGCCAAGCCATCCATCTGCTTTATATTTTGATTCAACGATGAGAGGAATAATTGTTTTCTTGCGATTAAATGCATATTCAGCCTCTGCTTGACAATTAGTACTTTTCTTATAATCACTTGACATACAAATAAGAATGAAACTTGATTTCTCAATAGCTTCAGCCATTCTTTCAATTATCGAACCATACATTTCATTTTCATCGATCCAAACTCGATAACCATCATCCAAAAAGTACTTGTAAATCTGATGGCAAAGTATTTTATTCTTCCAGGAATAAGAAATCATCACATGAAATGTATCTGTTACAGAATTTTGTGAACTATAATTCTTTAAGTTCTTTTGAATAAACCCTAACTGACAATATGGTGACGTGTTCGGAAACTTCTTGTCTTGTTGTTCAATAGCCTCAATGAAATTGTTTTCACCAGCAAGTTTCCAACTGATTCCATGTGCTGCTTGTCGAACTTCTTCGTTGCTTGAAAGATGAAGTCGTTTGATATGCTCAATAAAGTTCTTATACTGTTCTTTCTATAATTCTTCTTTGCCCTTTGCAGTGAATACAATGGCATAAATAATCTCAAGTGGAATTTCATTGTTCGGCCATTTCTTTGCATACTTAATCAAATATGGAAGACAGTTCTGTTCTACGAGTTGCTCTCGGATAATGTTATTATCAATCATACCTAGATAGAAAACATAGAAAAAAGTTATTATCACAATCCTTCTGAGATTAATATGTGAAACAAGATGTAGATTTTGTTGATAATTATAGGTAATATATTTATGCTATCTATTTTGAAATATATCTTTTCACAATCCTTTCACTTAATCCTCCTAGTACAAGTAATAGAATAAACTGAAAAAAACTAACATTTCAATCCATAGAGCAATTCTTCTGCTGATGCATTGTATTCATTATTGTCAATACTTTCATTTTCAACTGCTTCAATAAACTTCTTCATGAAGAGACCAACAACCTAATAAACAACAGACAGCATCGTGACTATAATTTCTTCATAAAAAATAAAAATAAAAATTTGTACCTTATTTATATCAACTATTCTCGAAAATTGTTCTTCCGATACAATCAATGCAATAAGTTCAAATAGTTGAAGTTGATCATTTTCATCTTCTTGATCGTTGCTCAGCTTTAGTAGACTGTCAAGAAGTTTTGTAAAGGATTCTTTATTTTCATGTATACCATTAAATAACTGTGGAGCTGAACGACCAATTTCCAGTAGAATCTTAAGACTTGAATCAACAAGTTTTTTCCAAATGAAATTACTTTCATTGGAATTTGACTTCAAATTGATCCAACCACATTCAAGAATTTTCATGGCAATATCTTTGAAAGATTGTTTTTCATTGAATTCAAGTGAACGAATAGCAAAAGCCATCAGTCGCAAGGGAGAAACCAAACAAGGCGAATAATTATCTATCAAATCGCTGATATCTCCATATGGACAACCAAAGACTTTAGCATATTGCGTATGCATTTGATCAAATATGGAGTGAGCATACTTTCCATTTTCTTCATCGCAATTGAGTACATAATCAGGACATGTGACAAGTAGAAAATGTTCTGTGTTATTCAATGGAAGACCACATATACCAGAAAGAGCATCTTCGGCAAATCTTGATTTGGCACAATGTAAGACTGGTTCAAGAAGAGCTCTACATCTAAATTAAATAGTGTAATGAACAAAGAAAAAAAAAACAAATATTCAATTTTAGCTCACTTTATCTTTCCATAAGCTTGTATTAGGCAATCAAATGAGGCTAGATTAAAGTCTTCTTCTTGGTTCGATTTCTTAATATAGTAACCATATGATACAATATTATTCAAACATATTTTGATTGTATCAAGCAAAGCTGTATTATTCTCAAGTTGATTATTCTTGGAGTCTGACATTTGCAATATTAAACTGCTTGCATGATGTAATGTTGCTGAATCATTTTCATTCAATATTGTTTGATTATTATTGCTCCATTGTTCTAGAATCTGATCGACATGAGGAAAAAATTTTAAAGCAAAAAAACCATGGGTAAGATGATTCGATATTAAATGGAAAGAAAATTGACTCAACTTCGAAATAATTTCATCTACAGACAATTGGTCGTAGAGACCAGAATTGAGTAAAACATCAATTTGTTTGTCACTCAAAGAGACGACCATGCTTGTATACATATTAATGACTATTTATGAGTATTTTTTACTATTTATCATTGTTGCTTCTTGATACGCTTCATTAGTCTATTTTTGTTCTGAATCTATGCATGATTTATATTATACTTTGATAGTTGTTTACAATTGATACACAAATCACAAGCAAGTAATGATGCATCATTAGAATAAATCAAGAGAGGCTTTACTACTTTATGAGTCATTTTCCATATCAAAATTGATTAAACTTACATGGAATCATGCATATAATGGAATTACAATTTTCGAGAATGATAAAGCAATATGAATCCCTTTGCCTTTGGATACAAACAGGGATGAATTACATTGAGAGAAAGAATATAATCACCATGATTTAAACACATTTTTTTTCATCACTACACAGTAGGCAATGATGCTACTGTTTTTTTTATGTTGTCTACAAAAAAAAACCCCCTACAACATAACGAGCTGAGTTAAGTAGCAATTAGCGATTTGAATGGTAAAACCGTGACACTGAATTTCTCGTTAATATATTCGAATGAAAAAACATTTATTTAGATCCTACTCTTTTTTTTCTAGGGTTCATTAATGTTCACTCTGTCGCAGTTTCACACCACAATTGACTGACATATTCAAGAAGTTCTAGAGCGAAGTTCATGACAAATTAGATATTGTCTTTGTTTCGTATGATGAAGATTAAGATTCATTTGATGAATATTTCAAAGGAATATCATGAAAAACAATAAGTTTTACGAAAAGAAATCTTCTGAAAACTACGATATAATTTTCTGCAAAATCATGTGACAGTGCAGTTAGCCAAATACTTTGTTGCCAAAACACCTATGAAAATCTCAGAACAAGTACTTGCCTACTTTCTAGACAAAACAACTCCAAAAATATACAGCACAGTTTATTTTTCCAAGTCAATGTTGGAATTACATCAGTAAAAAAAATCAAAGATTTTACTCTGTCATTGTAACAACTTTACTCTGCATATGTTAAGTGATGAATAAAAATATACACTACTTTTTAGATTCATAAATAAGTTTCAAGAAAAAACAAACATCACAGAAACATGCTCATTAACAAGTAGCGCGAACAGAAAAGATTGACAAAACACACGATTTTCAAATCGTCACTCTATACAATCAGTGTAACGTCCTTCTTTCAGCAGGTTCTCTTATCTTTTTTTTGAAACAAACACGATAAGAGAGAACTTTTTGTCACCAATTTTCTACTGAATGAATTTTTCTTTTCCTAGAATGTAGTTTGCACAGTATCAACTCTATCACAGAAAGGGCTAGAACCAAGTTTGTGTCACTGTACACAAAAATATAGAGGTATGTGTCAAATAATATGAATATCAGACGCAGAAGCGTAGAGAAAATAACATTAAAATCAGCGATATATTTGGATAGAGCGTCGAATACTGTACAAGATAGACTAAGTACGTTCATATCATCTTGTTCTCTTTAGGCATATCACAATAAAATGACATTTTTCTTGTAATATAAATCTCATAACTTTGCGACAATATCAGATAAAGAGCTACAATTTTGTGTGCCGGTGAGGCGTTCAATAGGGAATACTAGACGAAAAAAAAAATATATCAATATCAATCAAGAGAAACAAAGGTTGTTAGCCAAAAAAGTTAAGATCTCAATCGCACCAAAAATTTACAATTCAATCAGATCATCGTTAGAACCGATGGTATATTGGTACATACAATAATGATAGAACAATCTTTTCTGATGTTTTTTTTTACTTTCTATGTTCAACAGCACACAAATAGTCTTCAATATCAGTAGAAAAAGAGCATTGAATTTCTCGCAAAAAATACTTTTATGCCTAATTTATAAAAAAAAAATATGGAAAAAATTTTAAAACTTGCGTACCTACTGGTTAGGAATTTTCTACCTAACCTGCTGTTTGCTGTTATCAATTACAACGATGATATCTATATTGTGGTAGAATATTCACTGGATTGTAGCATTAGATGAACATCTTAAAATTGAACGTGTAAGTGGGATCAACATTATCAAAACTCTCTTTTTTAGATCGTGCTCGTCCTCAATTATTAGGCGAGAAATTGAATATCAAAATCATTTCAAACTTGGTCGTTCTCTCACTATCATGTGAAGTTCTCACCATTGCCGTTATCCAGGAAATGCGTTGACTATCTGATCAAGCTTTATGCCTGTAGTCTGAAGACAAAGTTTGCTATTGGACACGTTCACCACATGATGGCAAATTCGTGTGGGAAAATATAACTTGCACTTAATGTCATATATTTCCTTTACTCGGCATACGCCAAGGTTGTATACATGATGAATGTGATTTGAATTTGTGTAAAGCATGCATTTCAAAGATTAGTCACGAACATCCTCTCTTTGAATATCTCTTTTCATATAAGCAGTATTCATTGAAGCAACTATTTGCATCTGTACCATATTTATTGCGTCCGAATAATAGAGAACAAATCGACAAAAAGATACTTTGAAAAAATGGTGTCAAAAGTGTGGGTCTCTACTTTTCTAACGATTTATGTCGAACTTGTCTCAATTTTACACCATCATTGATTCAGTCATACAAAAAAGCACAGAGTAGTGATCATCCATTTCAATTGGTTTTCATGTCAAATGAAAACTAATGCAAAATGAGTCCACTTATTGATCAACGCTATCAATGTGTCACTTGTGAAAACTATGACCTCTGTTCCGCTCACAAAAGAAAAGAACTTGAACGTCCACTCGAACTATGTCCACAACCAAATAAAGGTGAATAATAATAATATTGATCAAATGTATTTTTGTTCAAACACCTTTACAGAACGCAATAACAGTACATGGAATATTATTTTCATAGTTAGTGTAATTTATCGGTTTCATTTGAGTCTTATGATGAATGTTTTCTCCATCATTTCTTTCCAGCCTTTTTTTCACTAAAAGCCATTCAACTCTTCACAATCGAAAACTTGAAATGTTTGTTCAACATGAAATAAATGACATATGCATGTTAGATTGAAAGAGACGATAAGAAGTAAATGAGTCATTGTTCACAAGAACATACACGAGTTCTTCAGCAATTCTCTACTTTGGTCTCATTCATAAATATGAATCTTTCAGGAAAAAAAAAGTAAAATATTTATTAGGTACAGCCATTATTCTTTCGAACTGGTTATGCAACGAATATAGCGCAGATTATGCTAGAAAATGATATCTGAACCACAAATCAGACATTAGAATAACGTGTTAAAGCTGTTAAATATAGATAAACAGTTTAATTCAAGCACTGCTCTTTTTTTTTCTTAACACTCAATGAGTTTTCTGATCTTCGATAATTAGTATGGATATGAGTGTGGGGTGAAATCTGGTATCCATATTAAAAGCAGCTTTAAAAAAAACATATTCGCTAATGACTAATAGAATTAGTCAAATCTTGTTATCGACAATGGAATAATATTATATAGGTTCATATTCAGTTTTTGAAGAGAACTTCGACGAACGATTATCATGAGCTATCTCCATAACCTTAGATTGCAAGAATATCTTTTGAGGAATTTTGCATATACAAGTACGGAACAAATTAGTAAAGACGTTCTTCAAAATTTTTCTAAAACATTCACATTATCAATTATCTCTTATATGAAACGTCTTGTATGTTCACCATGAGTGATCACTTTGACGCAAATATCCTGTGACCACATCTAGATTGGTCAACAGCAGAAAAAAGCGAAAAAAAAAGGAAACAAAAGTTCGATTGAAACATTCGAATCAACAATATCTGACACATGTCGGGCAGTCTGTCAGCTAATTTTGAACTACAACGATGAAGCTGACTAAACTAATATGACATGTTATCAAAGGTAATGTGGACTACTTTGAAGCTATATCTGTATTGATAATGACTAGTTTCTTGCTGAGTAAGCACTATCGATACTATTTAAGTGTTTCGACTAAAATGTAGAGCCAACTCGTCTAGGTTAGCCTTTATACGAACGAATATCTAGAATAACAATCAGTACGATGTTTATTTTTAATTAACAATTAACCGCTATGAAGAAGATAAATTAAAATAGATGTTTTAAAATTGTGTGGAGTCTTGTATGTAGATGAAAAGAAAACCTACAATTACATTCACACAATCTGTGACATCTATTTGAGGTTTTTTTCTGTGCTACAGAATTGGTAAGTGAAAACAAGGTAAATCGTCAATCGTGTTAATAGAATGAATCATATATTATGAAATTATACCGGTAGACACGAGAATTGAAAGCTAGTAACATTTGATTCATGTTTTAGCATGCACTCAACATTCGAACAGTGATCAGATGAAATTTTGATGATTATTTTCAGTTGTTCAGATGATATCTATTCTATATTTCAAACATTTCTTGGTTTGAACTAACGTATAAATAACATTCTTTTCGACAAACAATTGCATCTACTAATTGATTTTCTATATATAAATATTGATCCTGAAATAATGTATTCTTACTATAATTCATTAGAATTTCAACAAATAACATAAATACTCATGTCGCTAAATGGTACTACGAATAATAATGAAATTGTTCAATGTCTAAAATCATTGGTTTGTTTCAATATTAAAAAAAAAATTAATCTATTCGATTAGATAAAGAATTTCAATTACATCGAGATCATTTTCAATCAATACGTAAACAATTAACTGATAGTGAAATTCAAACTGTTGGCAATGAATTAAAAATAGCATTTAATAAATTAGAAGATACATCAAGTATCATTCAACAAATACCTACACTTCTTTACATATGAGGTGCACGTGTTGAATATAATCATGATCAAATGCGTTCATTTGATTTGGCTAAAGCTGTTAATTGTCAAAGACTTATGTACTATTAATCTACTTTGTATTATTATCGAAAAAAATTCTGTCATCTTATATCTATATTCAAAGGATTTATTATTTCAAATTCGAATCTTTTAAAAAATTCTGATTATCTCAGTTATGATTTCGATGTAGTTTATCTTTTACTTTTCATTATTTTTTCAAAGACGTTTTATCTATAGGAATAAACTGTATATAACTAATTTGTATTATATTATCAATCGCTTATTGATCTAGTTTTATTATCAAAACGATCTATTTCATGTGATGAATCGTGGTCGGAAAATTATTTGTTTGAAACATTGAATATGATTAAATCGAATAAATAGTCAATAAAACAGCAATACTAGTATAATTTTTCGAGTAACCGAAAGAGAAATATTAAAAATTTTACTAGATCAATCTAATGTACATATGACTATTCCATAGAATGAAAATACAAATAATTCTTTTACACGAGCTCTAAATCATTTAATCAAAAATGATTGCATGGATATTGTTCTAATGATGTATTGACATAATCATTTTTTACGAGATTTTCTTCAAAAACAACAAACTATATTGAAAAAAAATACTACACGGAGAGACTTTCTATTTCAACTATTGATTAATAAAATAATTTCAAATTTTGACAAAAAAAAAAAGATCAGATTATCAAAAACAGTTTGAAATGAACTAGATTGAAGATGGAAATGATTTCTTATCATATTTATGTTTAAAAATTCATGATTGTCGACATTGTTTTATTCACTATCTAATCAAAATTAGTTGTAATATGTAACGAAAAATTCTTTTTGATCAATCTTTTTTCGATGAATTAGAATTGGAATGAAATCAAAAATTACAGACGAAGTTATTCGAATATGATATTATTTCTATTGATAAATTAACTGGAAAAATACAAATTTCATAAAAATAATTAACAAATACTTTCAACATAACAAATTGAGAACAAGTAATCAGTTAATGGATATGGGCATTCTCAGGATTTTTAATACAATTATCATATAGAAGTTATACTAAGCATGCTTGATATTGTAGCAGAATATTTTATATTTTTATTCTCCTGTTCTTTTTTTTTCTCATTGAAGATATTGTTAATTTCAAATTAATCATATTCTGATGAACATATACTTACAGATAACAAATACCCACTTGCTACTCATGAGGGTAGGTAGACGGATGTGACTATAAATGAAAAGAAGATGTACAACCACACATCCAGCATCCAGGTTGACTCACATTTTGTTTAATAAATGTCAATGATAAATATAATTAATGATAATATCTTATTTTAACTTATTCGAAAATTTGATTTGAATGATTAATCTAAATAAGAGGAAAAACACTAAAATCAATGAAATTAAGAAAGATGAAAACAACTTACATTCAATAACATTCACCTGTTGCAACTAGTTCAAAATGATATGACTATAGCCATATTATTTTAATGAACGCCTAATCTATTTGAATGAAGCTTAATTTTTTTTTTCGTTTCGTCAGATTAGATTTGTTTCATTTGTTTTAGGATATAACAGCTTCGTTGTATGACAAAAAATGTTTTCGACTGTTGTTGGATAGTCACAAAAAGCACAAGAGTATACTTTATTAGTGGAAGAGGATGGATGTTAGAAATAGATATAGTTTTCCTCGGAAGAAACACCAAAGACTGAAAACGAAGCGAACTGAATTTGAATCAATATAATTCGATTCGATTCAGTCTCTGATAAACACTTTTGTTTCATTGAAATAGAAAATAATCATCTTAGAGTGTAAGTGGACGTCTTCTGTTTACTCTTATTCATAGTCACATCCATATTCTTCTACATTCTTAGTGTGTTCTTCACTTTTGTAGAAAGGCTAAAATAGTCATTTAGTTCGGCTTCAACTATGGGAATATGATTGTACGAGAACTAAATGTTGAAGGTATCTGATTAGCTGAAGCTCCACCACAAAGGGTATGATTTTAGCGAGAGATAGATAGAGATAACATCTGGTTGGTCGAACTTCCAAGATGAAAAAAGATCTGATTGGATAAGAGCCAACTATCCATACTATCTGATGATATAAACTTTAGGCTGGAAAACACTAACTGGATAACAGTATATAGTCACAGCATGTGATGGGCTAAAATGGGTGTGGGTGTGGGTGTGGGTTAGGGAGAAGAGAGGATCAAAACTCATGCTTACTCCTATTCACATCTTTTCATATTGCACACACATATATGCTTACCCTTTTTCATAAAAAACTTTCTACAAGCAAAGCGAGCTAATGAAATAGTTATAACTCAGGAAGGATAGATCACGATCATGAACTATTTTAGGTTTTATTGCTTTATCAGATTCTATTGTTGAAGAAAATATCAGTTCGATCGGCTGCTTAAACTTTCAAATCATCTATCCTCAGTTTGAATTTCTCTTAGGATTAGGGATGTACCGAGACCGAGATTGAACCGAGACTCTCGGTCCGAGTCGTCTCGGTCTCGGTCAGTCTCGGTCTCGGTTGGTCTCGGTCTCGGTCAGTCTCGGTCTCGGTCGGTCTCGGTCTCGGTTAGTCTCGGTCTCGGTCTCAGTCGTCTCGAGCGAGACTCTCGGTCTCGGTCAGTCTCGGTCGAAAAACTGAAAAAAATAATAATTTCGACCGAGAGTGAATACAATGCTTACCTGCGACAAAGAACGAATTAGAAGTTAATTGTACTCGAGATCAATATTCATCAACACCGAGATCGAGGCTAACTGAGACCGAGACTCTCGCCCGAGAGTCTCGGTCTCGGTTGATCTCGGCCGAGACGACCGAGACCGAGACTAACCGAGACCGAGACTGGCCGAGACCGAGACTGACCGAGACCGAGACTAGCCGAATCCGAGACTGCCCGAGACCGAGACTAGCCGAGACCGAGACTGACCGAGCCCGAGAGACTCGGTCTCGGTACATCCCTACTTAGGATCAAAATGAGTTTTATTTTCGAATAATGCTCTTCACTTAAGAAATCAAATTGCTCTAGCACTGTTCTAATCCATCCTTAATTATGAATCAATACACCGAATGATTTCTGAACTAGAATGTGTGTAAACACGATGAAGTGATTCGTCCAATTTTCTAAGCACCTATAATTTATAGATCACTGAAGTATTCCATATGTTTTTAAACACAATTTGATGTGTTCCCATTTGTCCAACATGATCTATAACGCGTAATTACAATATCTATCTCTAAGTCCTTTCAATAAGAAACGATATGATTAAGAAATAAAATGGCAAATAGAAGCTTAAACTCATGGCAACAGTTTCAATGGCTGTATTTTTTTTTTGAGGACTCAGTATATCTTAGCAGTGACACAGTTGTCAACTTTTGTACCAACAAATTTTTCATGTCAAATGAAAGGCTTTGTTGAAATTCTGTTATTTTCTGGGATGTCTAAAGTGGATCGCTATTAAGAGTGGTACTTTAACTGTACTTGACTCCTAGCAAAGCACCTAAAGTGTCACTTACTCAAACTGCTAAGTTACTATTAAATTCTACGCAATTCTGCTACCAGCAACACAATGGCTTGTGAGTCGCCAAGTTACCAAGGACTATTAGTTTATCAGTGATTTCATTCCTGATAAATTGTGACACACTAAGCAAACAGTAATGAATAAGTTACTCTATTTACTTTGTTCAACAGAAATTCAAATAACTATGCTACCCTTAGTCACTGTTCAGAGTATAGGTGAACATGGTGGAGAACCACTATCGAAGCAAATCGTGTCGAGCTCCATCCTTATAATACTTCCGAGTTGCGTAGGAGTTCTGTTACGCATTAGATGGCAAAAAAAAGCAATAAAAAAAAGAACAGAATGGTTTAATTTCGGCAGAAACGATCTCACCTTTTTGCAACATTTTTTTTCTTCCGACTTGCTCTGTTCTTTTACATACAAAGTGGAAAAAAAACCTTTCAAAATATTAGTGTTCTTTCTTTTCTGCGCTACTCCCGAAACTGCGTCAACCTTCACATACAATCATTTTTGCATTTTATCGACGTAATAAAACGACAAATGGCGGAGAGATAGTAAGTTTTTGCAATGATTTTGAAAATATTCTTTGCTTTACTTCAAAATTTGAAAACTTTTCAAAGACTTATCAGAAACCTTTTTTATTTTCAACTTAGTTCGATCACGTCTATGGGTTTGCTTGAAGTTAACATCTTAATGTACCTATAAAAAAATGTCGCCTTTGTTTGCTTAATTCCGGAGCCCTCCTTTCAAAGAAACTGTTTTTTTTCGTTGAAAAGATCATTTTTCACTTTAAAATATCAAAATATAGTCTCACGAGGGAACATTCCCAAGTGATACGCTTCGTTTTGATTCATTCATATCTCATTCGATAGAGTATGTTGAAATAAGAAAAAGCCTAAAACGATTCGTGCTCTTCCTCTACTGGTGAAGAGTTGTGGCTGTTTTACTGAAATTTTTACTGTGAGCCAGGCATTTTGGAAAAACCCAAAACGAAGAGTTTCGAGCTGAAACTTTACCTATAGATAGTTTTTATTGTCATTAGATAGTCCTGAAAGTTTCAACGAAAATGAACATGCCTTTCTTGAGCTATTCAATTTTCAAAAAAACAGCTGTTTACCATAGGAGGGAACAAAAATCCACTTTAGTTGGACATTGAATATCTCGAGAAAGACACGTTCGTTTTCGTTAAAACTTTTAGGACTATCTAATGACCATAAAATCTATCTATAGGTAAAGTTTCAGCTCCAGACTCTTCATTTTGGGTTTTTCCGAAATGCCTGGCTCACAGTAAAAATTTCAGTAAAACGGCCATAACTCGTCACCAATCGAGCAAGAGCACGAATCGTTTTAAGCTTTTTCTTATTTCAACATACTCTATCGAATGAGGTATCAATGAATCAAAATGGAGCGTATCACTTGGGAATGTTTCCTCGTCAGTGGACTACTGTGGAAATTCATAAACATAATATTCATTCTTTACGGCATTTTGAGGTGTTGATGAGTGACCTCTACAGTTTCATAGATAAGACTCAATAAAGTAACTGACAGATATATTTGGCCTCTTAGATCTTAGAGTTCATAAGGTCCTATGAGCTGAAAATTGATGGGAACACGTTTCAGGATAAGGGCATGGGTGTGAAGAGGAAAACATCTAGATCCACAACCACAACGGATACGTATTAGCTGCTTAATAAAGCTGGATTTTTGACGTAATGAATAGAACATAGGCATTTCTTCAGTTGTAGACAAAATTTTAAGGTGAGACTACCACATTTGATTTTTCTCGGAATATCCAGCCACAGATCGAATATGCAATGAGACGCCTGTAACTGGAGAAAAAAGACCCATACATATGACTTATTCGAAGCTTTTAGTAGTCTTACCTTAGTGAAGAATACAACGGTGGCGGTCAACCGTTCATCGAATGGTATGGCATATCAGTTCATTTTACCCCTATTATTGTTATAGTGGCGCATAGCTAGTAGCGGTAAATTGCGAGCTCAGTTTTTCGGTTAGGAGTGACGTGTATTGTGAAAATAGCGTTCTTTTTGCAAACTTTTACTAAAGATTTTTGGGGTCAAGTGGTTCAAACTAATTAGGGACTCCTTGATATCTTTTAGTTTGATTTCTTTTGGGCCAACCTTTTAGAGACTTTGATCTCATAGCCTCGTACACCTTCGATCAAACTATTTGTAAAAGCACTATTTTCACAAAATAGACTGTGTTTGATCACAAAAATAACGTTTGCAAAGTTTTCTTTCTTGTCACGATCGATCACTGTAGCAGCACGTCAATACAGCGGGTTCCGCGAAGTTGTGCGCTAACGCAGCTAGGCATGCCATGGTGTTACAAAAAATGGAGCTAATGAGAACATTAAAAAAACCTACAGTAATGTCCCATGTATTAGTATCGTTGGCTTCTCTTAGCACAAAGGCGTGTGAATAATGGAAAAAACCGGCCATCGCTGTCGGTTTCGCACGTGTTTAGTGGCTAAATCAACCTGAATGGTGAGGCTTGAAAGTGCATCTCCGCAGTTTTAACAGTTTTTTTTTTCATTTTTCGATATATTGACGCTAGAAAATACTATCGATATGAATAGAACAGTCTTCATTCTAGCCTCCATGTGATTATTTTCTTAAAGGTCAAACCCAGCGTTGCGTACCCAGAAACTCTTCAGTTTTAAAAAGTAGTTGATCAATAGTGGAACGGAGAGTATTGATTGCCAGTGCTAGTTTTAATTTTCAATATATGTCCATATGATTCCTTTGAAAAGTCAAGCTACTATTCATCCTTTTTATAAGAAACGTAGATTCATTATGTTGAAAGACTTTGAAATTTTCAAAAATTCTATTTTATAGTAATAGGCGAAATTCTAATATTGATACACGATCTGGTAATTCAAATAATATTCAATCATTGAAGCCATGTAGAGATGGTGCAGACTGTTCTCTACATCATGATGGAGATATACAGCATAATGAATATTATTCACATCCTTGCCGATGGTTAGATCTATGCCGTAATATAAATGAAAATGAACATTTACGTCATTATACACATTCAATAGATGGTATTAAGGAATGTAGACGTGGAACTG